ACCTTGTGTCTCGCAGTAGGGGTCGGAACTGCAGTCATATTCTGGTATTTGCTTGCAGATTGAAATTTGTTCAGAGGATTATACCAGCTTAAGTGTTTATTGAAGAAGACAGAAGTAGTCAAAAGAGAATTAGAGATAGAGAGCGGAGGAATTAGCCGGCATGAGGGAGAGTGACAGGCATAAAGCAGTAAACCCTCTTTGATGTAATGGCTAAATATTTCATGTTTATTTAGGAGATTGTGGAATTCCTTAAGTGCAGACAGACGATAATGAATGCTAACAACACCGAGTCTAAGAGATCAGTCTTGTTTCAGCTGCGTTTCAGGAAAGTCAATAAGATGCACTGACCAGATAGAAACATCAGGACTGTGTGCTGAGCTTCCAGTCTGATCCAGAGAAAGCTTTGATCCAGTGTTTAAGTCACTGGTGAATCCCTAATGAGGATTAATTTAATAATGATTAGTTAATTAACTGACTAGGTTATTATAAAAAAAATGACATTAATTTAGATGAGATTAAAATTGATTTAAATTTGTGACTAAAAGGTTCGCTTTCAAATTAAAACAATACTCACATGTACATAATGTACACTGACCATTGACAGAGCAATTGGTTGCTGAAGAGAGTTTAATGTGATACCAATTAGTAGTTATTAAATGTGGAATGAGGACTGAACTAAAGAAAATCAAGTTCCTCTCACTAGTTTCTTCCAGGACTTTCATCTTCCTCTCATGGTCTTCCTTATCTAATGGAGTTTGCTGGGTTTCTGCAGTTTCAGGCTCAGCTGATGACAGTAGTTGGGTTGTTCACTCGTGTTGCCAGGGAAACAGCACTGTCAATCATATTTGATCAAAAGAAACCCGCATGGCCTTGATGAAACAGATTTTCTGAGCTCTTAAAGTTATTGATTCATAACCCAAGTTTATTTTCAGACCACTTAGTCACAAATATTTAATTTTCTAGAGAAACACATGAGATTTTAAACAATTTTTTTCCATTTCTTCTTATATGAATGATTAGACATATTTAGATCAAAATGTCCCATCACTTTATTGTTTCATGGCACAAAGATCTTGACACAGGACATGGATCTCTGCCTCTGTATTTCATCGTGATGATTTGGCTTGTCTGTAGAAACACGAATGAGTCATTTGTCTACCCTTATTTTGTGAACACTTTGTGTGCTTTTCCAGTGTGCATGTAAAATAAACAAGATGTTCCTGTATCATCAAAGTAACTACAGTGATTCAACCCCTCGCATGTTGTCTCAACCGTAGAGCTGAGTTTCCCTCTTTGAAACTAAATCAGAAAAGACAACTGTGCATATGCAACACACTTCTCATACATGACTGTATGTTACTGACTGGAGCCTCTCTTTGCTCGAGGCTCGCCTCTCTGTCCTTTCTTTTCTCATGTTGCCCTTTTTATTTCTCTCCTTCTCTCTGCTGCTGCCAGGAGCATTGAACTCATAATTATAATGCAATTATACTTTCACTAAATGACAAAGAGGGAGACAGAAAGGAAGGGAGAAAGAGAAAATGAGAACAGGGAAGGGAGCTGAATATCGGGAGACATTGTGAATAGAGATGGAGAGAAAAAAACAGAGGTTGTTTTTGGGTCAGAGAGACAGAAGGCCAGGAGACAAGAGAGAGACCCAGAGAGACTAACGGAGAGAAGACAAGATGTTCTGGAAAAGAAAGAGAAAGACAGCGATAGAGGGTTTGGAACGACTCTGGTCCCTGATGTAAAGAGGGCAGGATAGCTGAACAGCCATGAAATATTCCCTCTGAAGATTCGCAGCCTGCCTGCAAGTCTTCAGTATGTAGAGAGAGGGGGTGGGGTGGGGTGTACGAGAGAGAGAGAGAGAGGTGGTGGAGGAGGACAAGGACAGGAAGGCAGAGAAAGAAAGAAGATGATTTGGAGGAGATGAAGAAAGCTGTAGAGGAGGGAAAAAAAGATGGAGGAGAATGAAATGGAGGGAGGGAAGGAGGGAAAGAGCGGGGTAGGTGGAAAGAAAGGCAGGAGTTGAGGAGAGAGGGAAGAGTGGAGTGAGAGCTGGACTGAGAGGAGATGAAATGTATTCAAAAAGTTAGGGAGGCAGCATTGAAGTTACCGGTATGGCGGATGGTTAGAGAGGAGGAAAGAAGCTGAGGGACAAGTTAGGATGGGATGGAAGTGATGAAGAAGGAGGAGAGACATTGATGGGAGCATGCAGAGAAGGAGGGAGGTAGAAGAGAAATATGGTGGAGAGCAAGAGTTAAGGGGAATGATGGGGGAGAGGAAAAAGAGAAAACAAGTAGAAAAGACAGAAAAGAGCAGATGAAGACACAAAGGGAGAAAGTGGACTATAAAAGGTCTGAAAAGTTCTTTAAGAAAAGTCTTAAAGTGATCCAAATGCAGGTGTTAAGACTGTATCGACAGATTCTTCACATTGAGTAATACACTATAGAGAATTAAAGAGTAGGTTCAAATATTCTATAATTACACAATACTCACATACCATCATGGATCGGTAAACGGGCCTACCGGTCCAGGAACAGGTCCAGGGGCCTAAGGGGTGAATATGAACATTTCTTGATACAGATACACATAAATGGCCACAAAGAGACACAAAATGACCACAGAGAGATGCAATATGACACAAAACAGTCTCAAAGAGACTCCAAACAACTAGAAGTAGTTGTGAGCAACCGCAAAATGACTGCAGAGAGATGGAAAATGCCTTCACAGAGAGAAAAAATGCAGAGAGATACATGTTTTCTGTCTCTCAACTGCACGATATAACTTTGATGACAGAAGGAATACAACACTTTGAAGGTGATTAAATATTCACTAAGATAAATGACCTGCTGTATTGCAGTTAAGGCTTTTGTCTCTGCAAGTTATTAAATGACTTGAAAGTAATGGCTGCCTATAATGAAACTTACATACATAGTCCTTTATATTTTGCTTTTACAGCAAATCTGACCTACGTGCATGTATTGGATAGTCACAAATAAGATTAAGCTTTATCTTGATTAATATTATGAAAAACATGGTTTTGGTTTCACAGTTGAATATGGGTGCAGCTGTTCTTGTGTATTATATGACTGTGTTTTGGTGATTGAGTGTTGGATTTGATCCCAGGTGTAGAATGTTCTAGAAGTCTTGAAAACATCTTAAATTCAGCTGCTTCCTCAGACCTGCAGATATGATGCAGACTGAGGCAGGAAGTATGAAAGGAGTCAGAGAGAGTTGAGGGTGTGGAGACAGATAACAAGTGGAGAGGAGGAAAGATACAGAGAACTAAAAGTCAGAGGAAGGTAATGAGAGGGATAAAAGAGTGAAAGACAGATGTTGAGATGGAAGGGAATAGATGAGTGAGAGACCTAAAAAAAAAAAGGAGAAGGGTGTTGAGTTTGGTGAACATCTTCTAAAATTGGAGATGGGGGGGGGACAAAAAAAGAGGACATGGGGAGGGAAAAAGAGGCAGAGGAGGAGATGGAGAGAAAGGGGAGAAAGAAGGAAGGGGATGTGTTGAGGAGAAGAACCGAGAGTGCAAAAGAGCTTGAGGCCAAACTGAATGAAGGGGGGGAGGAGGAGGGCGAGGAAACATTTGACTGCAATGCGTTTTTGTAAAGTTTTATGCAGGGCATCTGAAGCAGAGGAGCCCTCAGTTTGTTCTCAAGCCAAAGAGGGAAAAAATCTGCAATGGACACGCCCACACACACTCAGATAATTAGTGGCTAATTAATGTCTTGATGAATTTTTATTTTTATTTATTTTTTTATTTTTTATTTTTTTAAGATTCACATTCATTTTTCTGTGGAAATGAGGATTAATCCTGATATTTTTCACTTTACGACCTCAGACAATCTGCCTTCAACCAAAGAGATCAGTAGTCTATATATCAACCAGAGTCTGAAGGCAGAAAGTAAACATTTCTATATATTTGTGATGAGTTCGTTTGACCTAAAAACTTCAAAGTATCAAACATCGACCACAACATACGAAAAAAACCCAAAAAACATGAGATACAGGTAAGATGAAATAAAAATGAGGGAAACCGTCCAGTCAAACCAGACTCTGCAACATCAGATCCGAAGTGTTCCTTCCCGGTTAACAGATACTTGAGAGCTAAACCTCAACAGGAAACAGGAAACCAAACAAAGTAGCAAATCACAAGGTGACATCAGAATACTGATCCCCTATCTGACCAAGACCATGTCACCTGAGGGGAAAGGAGAGATCCGGACAGAAGCCGCAGAGGCCCAGCAGAGTTGGCAAATAACACCCATGGCTTTAAATATCAACATCAGAACAAATGATACCTCATACTCTTTTTTTCAGCCATGGAAGTTGCAGAGAATATTACTGCTCCCCAGAGGAAGAACCCTTTTGGTTGTAATAACCCCATGACATTCCTCAGGGGGCAACGTTAGGACAATCTTTTAATAAATCTGGCTGGGATATAGCTCACATGATGTTAGCTCAGTTTCCTCCAACTATAGACTTAGTATCGGAATATTATTAAACGTATATAACATATAATTCAAACTTGGTAACAAAAGCCTAACGTCACCACAGTCTGTACTCTTTATTGCATTGCCAGGTTGAGGGGCTTCATTACCGCTGAAACTACAGATGTTGACAGTGTCCTCACTCCCACTACTGCCGGGTGCTTCGGATAAAAGCCTCCACACCAAATCTCATTACAACCAGCAGTTTGAGCAGCAGCTCCTCACAAAGACACTCTGTGCATTCTAATGGTGCGATGCACCTGCAGCCACACACAGTGTCTCTGTTATGCAGACTGGATTAAACCCTGAATTGGCTGCAGAGGCTTGATTATGGTGTTACAGGTGTGTGTGTGACCTCCAGTAAAATGAGCTTCCTGTCTCAGGATTTTCTCACTTCACTGAACTTGTGTCTGTGTGTGTGTGTGTGTGTGTGTGTGTGTGTGTGTGTGTGTGTGTGTGTGTGTGTGTGTGTGTCTGTCTGTCTGCTTCCTGTCTCCTCAGATACACCAAGATGAAAACGGCCACTAACATCTACATCTTCAACCTGGCTCTGGCAGACTCTTTGTTCCTGGCTACTTTACCTTTCCAGGTAGGAATTTATCAACAAGCTACACATACAGGAAAGAATACCATTTTTTTTTAGTCATTGATACATTTTTTGCACAGACTGACCTCTCAGGAAGAATGACAGCATCCAACGGAGCACATTTTGCAAGTTGCAAAATCCATTCTGCCTTTTTTGTTGAAGCCAATTTAAAAAAGCAACAATGCAGTGTGTGTGGGGTTTTTCTTTTTTTACTATTGTTGTTGCTAGGCAACCACTGAATCACCTGTCTTTAGTCACCCCCTTTGTTTTCACTCAGGAATTTAGGAGTTTAGTTGTTGGGTAATTGAACAATATTGAGATATCTGTGTACTGAAGGCGAAGTTGTATTAGCAGTTGTGGAAAGTAGTACATTTACTCTAAGTACTGTACGCAATTGCAATTTTGAGGTACTTGTACAATGAGTATTTATGCTTCTTTATACTTCCACTCCACCACATTTATTGTACTTTCTTCTCCACTACATTTATTTGACAGAGTTAGTTAAACAAGTAAGCAACTGTAAGGACTGTAACACTTCACTTTACTGAAGCACAAGCCTGCACTGTACTGGGCTCCCTCTCACCCTGGAGAAAAAGATGACCCCCATGCTTGTCATTTTATGATCCTATGGTCTTTATGGCATCACTACTTCCAAAACCTAAGACATTGTGACTTTTCATAACTGCTTTTAAATCTTCGCAACTCTATTCTTTTCCCTGTAAAACAACATATTTAATGTGTTGGTTTAAAATGTGCTGCTGATCGGTTCTCTTTACTCTGTGGCACAAAAATGCAGAAAAACTGATTGTTTGAATCAGGTTTTGCTCTCCTCTCAGCTACTGAACATTACATGGACTTTTATCAGTCACTGGTTGGTTGTGAGGTGTTATGGTTTTGTGCTCCACTGCACTAATTTGTTTCCAGTTCAGTGGATAATTAACTGTCCAGAGTCATATTTCAGCGGCGATGGAGCTCTCTGTTCTGCCTCCAGCTGCATTTCTATGTTCATTCTTTGTTTTCTGAAACGTTTCCAGGGCACTGACGTGTTTCTGGGCTTCTGGCCATTCGGGAACGCTCTGTGCAAGGCGGTGGTGTCGATTGACTACTACAACATGTTCACCAGCACCTTCACCCTGACAGTGATGAGTATGGACAGGTACGTGGCCGTCTGCCACCCTGTCAAAGCCCTGGACATGAGGACACCTCACAAGGCCAAGGTAAAAGCGTTTCATTTCAAAGTGAGATATTCATCCTTTTCAAAACCTTCACACCTCTGTTATCTTCCCTGAAAGCACCACTGACACCAGATCAGCTGTCAGCACTCAGTTCAGCCCTCTTCAGGCATTGCTGTCATGATTTGAGTCAGGTCATGAACCCCTTTAAACTGACTTTCTGTGTGTTGTTGTCATGTAGGAAAACTGAAAAAGAGAAACAGGCATTGTTATTCCTGTGCTCTGCTATATTGGCGGACTCTGTTTAATAACTGTGTCAATCTATATGCTACATCATCGGAGAAATAACAGTGGTTTAAATGTAAACTCAGACGTGATGATGACTTAGCCAAGCTTCCTGTTTGTTTTTACTTTAATTGATTTTACACCTCAGAGTCTGTTTGGTCTTGGAGAGTGCTAGTGCATATGTGAAACACATGTAGAACATCTTTTTGGAAATTACAAATTGATTATATTATTCTTATACCGCAATTATTTGAGTCTTGAGTCCCTGTCATGTCATTAGTCATTTTAGATTTGTAGACGTAAGGGTTCACCCCTTATCATTCCTGTGAAATTAGCCTAAAACGCCTATCCGAGTTATAGAGATACTGAATACAGAATCAATGTAAGTGCCACTGGCAGTGAGTTACAAGGGTTTCAACACACTCAAGTAGGTGTTTATTTCCGCCTGAATATTTATTTTTTTGAAAATAGATGCCTGCAGATGTGAGTTATGAGCCTGAAAACCTAATGGGACCACAGCGTAAAGCCTTACATGGTCCAAGCTCAAATTTGGTAACAATACCACATATTTACACATGTCTTCTATGGGTATGTTTAGACGTTTTTCCAAAAAAGGCCATTTGGAGACTCCACAAAAGACCCTAGGTTAAATGCTTTGGACAAAAAGACTCATAGTCTTGAAAGCTTGAACATATACAGTCATCATTTTGGGCTGTTATGAAAAGTGACAGTTAGAGGTATTCTATCCCATATCCAGATTCACTATCAGTATTGCTGACACAGAGTAAGTGAAACATAAACATTATAGAACTTTTTCCCTTTGTGGATATAAAAAGAGTAAAAATAAGTCGTGTGGCTGAAAATGTAATTTAAATAAAACAGACCACCGCAAACTATTCACAATTGACAGTTTTCAGTTCTTTGGGAGGGGTCTGTCTGTGTGTCTGTCCACACTATGAGACTTCATTGGGGTGAGTTGTGTCAATGTTTTAATTGTTTGTTTTTTAGTCATTGGTCTGACTGTACCTGCTGTTATGATCATGAAATGGTTTGTATCAATCAAATCACAAGAATCTAAGCTTTCCAAAGATATGCCACATGAGAACACACTTACACACTCAGAGTTGTGTACATACTGAAGTTGTGTTAAATTATGCATCTTACTATTTAATCACTATCTGTGTAAGAAATTAATATGTTTTTCACAGTAACGTTATCATTTCCTCAGGTGGTCAACATCTGTGTGTGGGTGTTGGCTTCGGCCTTTGGCGTTCCGGCCATGGTCATGGGAAATGTAGAGGAAGAACAAGAGCATAACAGTGAGTTATAAACACACACACACACACAGCTACATATACAGTATTTACATAGCCTACATGTACCTGTGCAGATGCTGCGAGTATACATGCACTGACTTGTACACGCACATGCATCTACCTTCACCACATGTGTACATATGAAAGAAACTTACAGCGTACCCAGTGATTTCAGAAAGTATTCAGACATCTTCACGACATTGTGTTGTAAAATTCAAGCAGATCAAATTGCACATTAACTTTCCCATTAGTCTGCAATCAATAACACACAATGACAAAGCGAAAACATGTTTTTTGCTCATTTATTAAAAGTCAAAAACTGAAATCTGTAATTTACAAAAGTACTCTGTGTTTAGGTGCTTCCTGTTTGCTTTAATTATCCCTAAGATGTGTCTAGAACTTGAATGGAGTCCATCTGTGCCACGCTGACTTGGACATAGTTTAGAAAGGGACACACCTGTTTGTCCCACAGTTCACACTGCAGGACAGTCCTAAAACCGAGACATGAAGTCCAAGGCTCTGCACAGTCTCACCATATGCTGTATCATCACATGCATTACACCTTTGACTGTGATAGTGTGAATTTTAATGACTAATTAATATGTAAAACATTACCCAGTTGTGTAACATACAGCATGGCTTTCACATATATATTTTAATATCTGCTGCTAGAAAAAGTGGGTGTGGGGGGGAAAAAATAGCTTCCAGCTGTATTTCAAGAGATTGCCTCAGGAAGTGTGATGTGAGTGAACCCGTTTACAAATGTCGTTGCTGTCCCAGTTTTTATAGCTTGTACTGCACAGCGTCTGACTAATAGGCTCAGTACACGTTATCATTGATGCCCCCTGTTTGCATCCACACGATGCTCGATGAAATGAAGCCGCACACAGCGGGCGCACGTTTATATGTGGACCAGAATAGAAACATTCTTAATGTTTGATCTCGTTCGTCAGATGCAAACCAATCATCAGAAGTGATGTTAACAGACCAATGAGATAACAGTGTGAGTCACTAGCTGTTACGATTTGATTATTGAAAGAGTGGGTCCAATTTCTGTAATGTGAGATTTTGCACATAGTCCGTACAGGTTTATTGAAAAATGACAGTTAAGCCAATTGAATGTTTTTACATCACACATCATATGTGAGTTACTAGCAATCACCATTTCCGTGATAAATATGCAGGGCTGAAATTAACAGAGGAAAATACAAATGAATTCAATACAACAGGATTCAATCAGCAGAAATACATAATTATAGTGACTCAGTTTCAGAGGAATTATCATACAAATAATGCAGAGCCACGATCCATTAAACTTGGAGTTTGCAAAGCATTCATTTTACAATGAGCATGAAAAAAGGGAACAAAGAAGCTGACATTTCCACGTACACATCAAACACAACCTCAGCATACTGGTGCTGGTAAAAAAGGATCCAAAGGTTCTTCTTCTTCCATTCACTAATGCAGTGCTGCTGCTGTCTACCACTCATCTGTTCAATCTCAGTCCTATCTCTTTGAGTAAAGACCTGGATCATTAAGAAAGAACAGAATCTGTTTTGTAATATTGTTGAAGTCCACAGTGGCCTAGAGCCTGGAGTGGCATTCAAACAATATTCCACAGTTTTTCCTTAGCAGACACTCCTGCACTGATGTATCCCACAAAAGTTCAAATCAAAGCATGAGATCTTACTCACAAATGGCTGGGAACAAAATGATATCTATGTTTAATTATCCCATGAATAATCTGCTTTAACTGGCCTCCGCGTTTTAATATTTAAATGATGCCAAGCGGCTTTGTATGTATTCTTTGTGGGTAGAAGAAAGGATATGCTAAAGACACAAATATAATAACTTCAGAGTATAATATAATAACAGAGTTCTCACTTAGCTGCTCTAGTCTAAATGCTACACTGTCCTTGTAAATCCAAAGGTTAACTTGAACATTAAAATCTGCCTTTCTCCTACTCTTTCTGTCCCCTTCATGATGAAGCTATAACTTCGCAGGCTCATTCATTTTTTTATGTTTCGTCACCCTCTCCCCCGACACCTGCTCGCACCAAGAGAAATCCACCCACAGGCCTCGTTTTAGCGAGCGTCACCTAAAGCTCAGTAATTAGATCTAGCCTGGCTTCAGCCCTGCCTGCCAGGATGCACATCTGAACTCCATTTACTTTAATGAGATGTCAGTCAATCAGGTGCTCAACCTCCCTGTCCAGGTTCACCTCGTCTGTGCTGCTGCCAATCCACAACATGAATGACTATAATGATGGTTGATCTATTGGTTAATTTATCATTTTTGATGGCATAAGCCCAAAAAGTTTTATATACATAACTAAACCTCTAAAAAAAACTATGAATGAGCCAACTTTACGTTGTTGAGTAGTAAGCTGTTAAGCGGCAACATCAATTATATCTGAAACATAAAATGCAACAATATTACAGTGTATATTAATCTGTATATCATGATATTTGGGCTGGACTGTATCAAGATATTAAATTTTGGATGTCATCCAAGCCTATTGTGGACATTCTTGACATCAGAGGTTCATAAAAATTAACCCCTCAACCCCCTCTGTTTTTCCCCTCATGGTGTCAGAGAAAGTCTCATAAAGTCACTATAATAATCAGAAAAAATTCCCTCAACTACCTTCAGCTTTCATTAATAAAAAATAATAAGCAAAAATTAGTCCCAACTTAATGTCTCGTCATTTTATGCTTGTGCACTCTCAGGCAATATAAAACAGGCTGCAGAATTCTCTATCTAATAAATGAGAAAATCAATGAGAAGATTTATGAGGGGGATTTGCAGTGAGAGGAGAGGGTAAGTGCCCCTCGCATTTACGATAGGCATTAATTAAGGCTTCAATGGCAAAATACCTTTTAAACCCATCACTGGTGCAGCCTGTGAGAGAACTGGGAATGTTCTGTTCTGCCTTTAGAAAACACTCTTTTTCCATATCAGTACTGTACAACGGGCTGATCCCGTTCATGGTGTCAAATATAATGTGAGCATTGAAGCTCTTGTTGTGTCTGAATAAAGCCAAAATGATGATTTATGTCACAGATACCTATGTTTGAATCATAAAGAGCATGGAGCAAGCAGTGTCACAGACTCCTAATAAAGGGCTACAGCTGCGTTTGAACTTTGGAAATCTGGTGCAACTGTCTGCTGGATTCTCACCAGATTCTGAAGCAAGTGCATAACAAGAAAGTTGAAAAGTTTTACTCTTTATCACAGTCTCTCTCTCTCTCTCTCTCTCTCTCTCTGTATTCACCCAAGTCTCTTGGATCCCTGATAACACCTGATGGATAACAGCAGCTTCAGTCTCACTTTGAAACAGACCCGTTTCATTTCTCTTCTTATAGCTGCTTATCAGTTTCTGTTGAGTGGATCCAGCTGAGTCCTTTGTCTTTATACACTGCGAGCGTGTGTTTGCTGCCATAAAACATCTTGCTCAGGCTTTCATATATTTTAGTTTATGGCAGACACACACACACACACACACAGATAGACAGACAGAATTATAGTCTAATATTAATGGGAAAGTCTTGCAGGGGAGCAGATTCTACTCTACTCACATTAAGCTGTGTGTGTGTGTGTGTGTGTGTGTGTGTGTGTGTGTGTGTGTGTGTGTGTGTGTGTGTGTAATTCTAGGTAGAGCATTTGCCTTATATGGTTGTGTGAAAGTGATGAGTGTGTGTGTGTGTGTGTGTGTGTGTGTGTGTGTGTGTGTGTGTGTGTGTGTGTGATGAGATTGTGCTGGCAGCCTTGGATATCATGACAAACTTACAGCTCACAGATGGCAGCTCTTTGCCTAAAAAGGCCAAAAACATTTGAAGAATTCTGCTCAGTTTTTACAGTGACAGGTGTGCAAAGAATTTCTCATGACCTTAAATACACAATGCCAAAGCAGAAAATGGCCATAATTTGTCATTAGTGGGTAAACAGGGTTGTTCATCAATACTAGCAACTGAACTGAGACTTCAGGCTAATAAAACTAAATTTCTGGCCTTAAGTCTGTTTAGGAACAAAAAATCCCACCCCCACTGCAGCTCAGTGCCTGGATAGCTATCTTACTCATCTGTGTTATGACAGAGTGACTCTGCTGTTTATAGCATGTTTAGCTAAAGTTAGAAAGGAGAGGGCGAGTTTAATGTTGTAATTTATGTTGCTGTTGTTGTAAAGACTAAGCAATCATAATGCATCCTCTTATATTAACATTATGAGGTTTTTTGGTTTATTGCCCCAAAGATGGTAATGACATAGCCTTCATCTATATATCATCAAACAGTTTATTTTAATTATTTTTAGACATATTTTTTTTGTTGTTGTTGAAGAATTTACATTTTCTTATTTCCCATTCTACATCTCGCAAACCCCCAGATTTGTCTCATGACCTGTTGATGAGTCACAAAATACAAAGCCAGTTCATGGTTGCCAGGGGTTGAACCATTTTTATTTTGATGACCACATGACCTTTACTTTTTGCACAAACTTTATATTTTTAACCTCACTATAATATAAATTCTGTCTCCAAGAAACACGATCCTTCCCTAACCTTAAGCAAAGTGTTTTAGTTGCCTAAACCTGACCACAGACCCGACTGTGTTAGGCCAGTCTTAATCATGCTCATAGATTAGTCTAATGCCAGTCAAACCGTTTCTCAAAAATAAAGAGTGACTCATTTTAAACCAAAAAAATAGGCACTTTACCCCCAGACTAACTCAGGCCTAAGCGTAAGGCCTAAGACCAATGTCACAATAATAACATTCAATGACACCTGTGCTGACCAGTAGCATCCAACAACAAAAAGCAGAAAAACGTGGCTTGTGTGACAATTTGTGGTTTGTTAACATTGTTATGGAGAAAGCAATGAGAAGGGAAAGAGATTTCTTTGAGACCGCAGTGATTTTTCTTTTGATTGTCTTTGTAACTGTTAAATTCTTCCAAAACACAAACATTTTCTGCTGGTGTAAATGGAGCTGAGCAGTTACATGCATTA